TTTTACAATTGTCCTGATTGTGGATTTTTCCTTCACAAAGAATGTGAGGCAGAGTTGTGGCCTAAGATTGATCATGTTGCCCACCCTGAACACCCTCTTATTCTTGTATTCTCAGCATATTATACCTGCAACTTTTGCCAAGATAGATGTTATGAGAAGAAAATTGTATATAAATGCCACACTTGTTCCTTTTATATTCATCATGAGTGTACCTCACCCAGATTTTTCCCAGAAAGTAAGATCCATGACCACCAGTTGAGCCCATTCATGAGGAAAAATCCCTTCATTTGCGATGCATGTGGGGGGGCAGGAGATGACGGTCGATATTTTTGTTTCAAGTGCAGCATCATGATCCATCGGGATTGTATTTTCCTGCCAAAACTCATCAAATTCAAACTGCACAATCATCATATACTCGGCCACAACTACAGGTTTCCACAAAAAGTGGGTGAAAAATGGACCTGTCAATTTTGTTTCAAAAAGGTGGTGACAGAGTATGGGAGTTACAAATGTTTGCACTCAGATTGTACTTATGTTCTTCATGGGAGCTGCGTAAAAAAGAATAAAGGTCGTCTTTATATCGAAGTTGAGTCAGAAAATGAGGAAAGTAATAATGAGGCTTCTTCTTCTCCAAGTCGTGCTGTGGCGCTAGGAGACAAGATAGATCATTTCAGCCACGAGCATGAATTAGTGCTTGATAAGGAGGAGATTATTATGAATGGTGATAAAAAATGTTGCGATGGGTGTGCATTACCGATCTTGGAGGCCGCTTATAGTTGTCCACAACCAGAGTGTAATTTCTCCCTTCACAAGGCATGTGCCCAAATTGGAGAGCACAAACCACATTGGGCTTTCCGAGATCCTCTTCAAGTCAGCATGAAGTGCCTTCTTAGCTGTCAATTTTGTAAGTATTACTGCAGTGGTTTTTATTATTACGGGAAACATGTTGATGGTATTGGCAGTGAAATTTGCCTCAGATGTAGTGAGATCTATTTCATCACTAAGCATGAAGCACATGCTCAGCACTTCCTCTTCTGTGATGAAGATCACAGGGGACCATGTAGTGGCTGCGGTGAGGAAATGGGTGAATATGGTGGTTACAGATGCACGCTGGCAGAGGAAGAGGAGAATTGCAAATTTTTTGCCTTGGACTACAGATGCCTGACACGACCCCTTGAAGTTCAACATAGGTTCCACCATCACCCTCTAAAACTCACTTATGAAGATCCTTACAAGGATGATTATGGTGATCCATTTCAACACATGTGTGAAATTTGTGAAGATAGAAGAGATCCAAAGCTCTGGTTTTATCGGTGTGATGAGTGCGATTTTGATGCTCATCCCGATTGCGTTCTTGGAGAATACCCATTCATCAAGCGTGGTAGCATCTATGGTGATGATGATAATGATGATGATGATGATGATGATATTAGATGTCGTTCTCATCAACGACGTCTCATATATTGCCAGAGTGAGAAATATCCTTATCCGAAGTGTAGTTCCTGTGGCCATCCTTGCAAAGATCTAAGTATTAAATGCGCTCACTCTGAATGCAACTTTGCTCTACATTTTAAGTGTGGCTATGAACGTCTCATAGAGAGGCGGCTGCGACGGCTACTGCAACAGCAACGGTTGGTATCAACGAGGGGTTGGATCAAGTGGTAAGCAGTTTGTTCCAGTTTAAGCAAGATCTCGAGTTCGAGACTTTGTGTACGCAGCAATCCCCCGCTGGGAGACTCACCCACCATTTCCAGATGCGCGATGTGAATTGAGTTCGGATTAGTCGGGGCGAAACCCCGGATACCGGGCGGAAATCCAAAAAAAAAAAAACAGCGTGCGTTGGAAAGATACATGAACCCCAGACTAAATTGGTAATTCTCCATTCCATTTTTTTGATAGCTTGATTTCAATCTTTCTTTTCTATATATGTCATAAATTGTTTTCCCAAAAAACCCAAACACTAATGAAATTAGTTTGATCATAACCTCAACAATTAATTGATCAACATTTAATAGGCCCCTTTTTTTTAAATTTATTTTGTCTCCAATGTCCATCAATGGTATTTTCATCTTTTCCCACTCCAAACTGATGTTTTTAAATGCAGTCCACCCTAAAAATCCCATTATTATTATTTTTTAAAATTTAATTTAATTTAATTTAATTTAATTTTATTTTTTGTTTTTATCATGTAAGAATGGAGAAGACAAAGGCTTGTAGCATCCCAAATCATTTCTTTTACTACTCTGGTATGTCTTGCTATCCAACCTGATTGGTGGTTATTCTCCTCTTTAGAAATATATAGTTACGTACAGATCAATATATCATGCTTCTGATTCTTCCATGAAATGTATGTATATATTTTGCAGCACAAACTGTCCTCGAACTGTAATTTTTGGTTTTACCATGGGAAGCACTCCGGTTGCTCGGACCAGCGGGGCACAATTGCTTTCACTGATGGGCAGGTATATTACCATGACTATATATGTTTTATAGTCAAATTTGCTGTATTTTAATTCATAAAGAGGAACTCCTTGTCTCTGATACTCAGACAGTTCTCATGTCAATTTCTTTGTCCGCAGCCTAAACAAAGGTCATTCAAGTAAAATTCCAGCGCTTTGCTACTAGGTTTGCTCTGATCTTTTCCTATAAAAGAACAGCTTTAGTTCAACTTAATACAGTCTGGTAGTATAGCTCTACTTGTCAATTTCTACTATTGAAATTTGAAAAGAAGACTTACTTAGAAAAGTGAGCTTTATAAATGTATAGACACAATTCTGTGCAACTTGGTACTCAACTAATTTTCATGTTTCATAATGCCCTATGTCCAGATATTTTGATTTACTATAATGGAGACAATTGCTTCAAAATCAGTTACATTACATGTCAGGTAGTCTGTAGCAGTGTCTGTGACATCTAACATTAAAAATTCAACTAGGAGAGAATTTCTTTTAACATTCAACATGGATTGTGAGATGCAGGCTTCAGCAGAAGCTGACATTGAATCAATGTCAATGATCAGATGGGCAACACGAGATGCTTCAACCTTGGAGGAGACAAATGAAATACACTGGAAATTGGCTCCAAGCGATTGAACAACTTCATCTTCTGTAGGTATGAGTGTGAAATCTCTGATTAAACGCATCAGTTTACTACTTTTTTGGAACATTCTTAAGCATGAAAGTCTAGCATACAACAGTAGTTGATATTTAAATTTCATAGTTTCTTCAGTAGTTAATTAATATGTAGAGGAACTGGCCTTAACTAGCTAGCCTAAGAGTTCACCACCCAAGCCTAAACTCCTAGGTTGGGAGTTCAACTCCTGCCTATGGCTTGGAAACCTACAATTTCTGATGTTTCTAAAAATTAATAATAACATGTAGGGATAATGATATTGCTCACTTCTTGATGCAATTGCCATTGGCTTAGTTCAAGGAAAAGAAAAGAGCTCGAAGAAACAATCCTATCA